AGGGATAAAGACAAATGGTTGGAGACGACTGTTTTGTCTATTTATATTGTTATAATATTGTGTTTCAGGAGACAGCATGAGAGGATAATGAGAGATTGACTGGAGATGAATGTTGTGTCTATCTATATTGTTATAGTATTGTGCTTCAGGAGACAGCATGAGAAGATAACGACAGATTGACTGGAGATGACTGTTGTGTCTATTTATATTGAAATAATATTGTGTTTCAGGGGACAGCATGAGAAGATAATGACAGATTGACTGGAGATGAATGTTGTGTCTATTTATATTGTTATAATATTGTGTTACAGGAGACAGCATTAGAAGATAATGACAGGTTGACTGGAGATGAATGTTGTGTCTATTTATATTGTTATAATATTGTGTTACAGGAGACAGCATGAGAAGATACTGGCAGATTGACTGTAGATGAATGTTATGTCTACTTATATTGTTATAATATTGTGTTACAGGAGACAGCATGAGAAGATAATGACAGATTGACTGGAGATGACTGTTGTGTCTATTTTTATTGTTTTAATGTTGTGTTTCAGGGGACAGCATGAGAAGATAATGACAGATTGACTGGAGATGACTGTTGTGTCTATTTATATTGTTTTAATGTTGTGTTTCAGGGGACAGCATGAGAAAATAATGACAGATTGACTGGAGATGACTGTTGTGTCTATTTATATTGTTTTAATGTTGTGTTTCAGGGGACAGCATGAGAAAATAATGACAGATTGACTGGAGATGACTGTTGTGTCTATTTATATTGATATAATATTGTGTTTCAGGAGACAGCATGAGAAGATAATGACAGATTGACTGGAGATGACTGTTGTGTCTATTTATATTGTTTTAATGTTGTGTTTCAGGGGACAGCATGAGAAGATAATGACAGATTGACTGGAGATGACTGTTGTGTCTATTTATATTGTTTTAATGTTGTGTTTCAGGGGACAGCATTAGAAGATAATGACAGATTGACTGGAGATGACTGTTGTGTCTATTTATATTGTTTTAATGTTGTGTTTCAGGGGACAGCATGAGAAGGGTCTCAAATCTGTCTGGGATGTCCTTCTCTACCCCAGACAGGGATAATGACAGACATAGTAGTGTTAACTGTGCTGCTAGTGATAGAGGAGGCTGGTGGTTTAAAACCTGTGGATTAGTCTTCCTAAACGGTCCCTGGTCCTCGTTTTACTGGTCCAGTCCATGGCATCCCACAGTAAGGAAAGGGAAATATATCAGGAGGACCACCATGATGATCAGGCGCCGCTAGGTCAACAGCATTAAATCTTAATAACAAGTTTTTTTTCCTTTTCTATGTCCGCGAAAATTTCAAATAGTTATTGAAAGTTATTTTTTTTTAAATATGCTCTTCTTTCTGTCAAACATTAATTCAATTTTCTTTTACAGACAAAAGATCATCCACCAAAAGATTTTGAATTGTTCTTTATCGCTGTGTTCTTCTGTTAAATTATGTTTCACACCAAGTGAGTTGAACAATTCTTTAAAGCAATAAATTAATGCATTTTTTTTCAACTGCATGTGTTTAGCAAAAGATGTAATTTACATGTGTTGTAATAAATTTGAACTTAGAAATAATACATCATTTACAAACACTGATAAGTGAAGCTGTCTGGACGGAGAATTAGGATGATGATTGATTTGTTAATAAACCTGGAACCTCTTTAATCCGACACATGGACAATACGCTTTAATGTGATTTCTGTCAATTCCATATCTCATTTCTGAAGATTTTAAGATATTTATAAAAAATCAATGTTAGGTATATTTGATGATCATGTTTTTCAGTAGTGTACGTCTAAGATTATGCTTCCCTAAAAACATACCTCTATATTTTTCCATCCATGCGGTATTTTGAATAAATGAGTATTTATTATTCATTAATCTACTATACAAAAACCGTTTAAATGAATGTTAAGGCTCTTTTATATCATGGATAAATAATTGACGTAAGACGTACTGAATATTTCTTTCTACAAGTCTAATTATTTAATATATATATATATATATTTCTATAGCTTGAATTTTAATGTGGCAAGAAAGCCAATGATACTAGATTTGCATTGATACAAAAGTGATGGCTTGAATTAAAAAAATCACCTTTTCTGAAGATCAATATCTTTTATTGCTGCAGATAATCATTTGAAAAAGAAAAAAAATTGCCTTTTATTCTGACGTCACAAACGTATAGAGATAATCCAAGTATTCTAAATAATAAAACAAATTTAAAAAAAAACAAGACAAGCAGTTAGAAAAATTAAATTATAAGCACTGATTCATTATTTTTTTTAAAATATAGGTCTCGAATATCTGCAACGATTTGTGCAAACAAACTGTCATAATGCGCACTGGCACATAACTTAATATGTTTGCAAATACCGTATAACGGGTATTTTCTGCGGTTGTCCAATTTTTGCGGAATTTTGCGGATAGGACAAATCTGCAAAAATTACAATCGCAAAATATTTAAAATATGCCTTCAGGTATTTTTTACATGCACGTATGATAAGTGGTGTGTCTGCAGACCTGTCTTCGCTAGCGAGAACATTCGGGTCATATCGAAACTCCGATAGCTGCAAACAAAATATCACAGTTTTTCTTTCTTTCTTATTTTCCACTTTTTAATTTCGTGTTTTGTCTTTAGACCGTGATTAATACTACTTCTTGTGTATACAACATAGTTTGATTGTCTCCTGAATTTCATTCAAATCAGACGACTGGCAGTATTAGTAACACCTCAATGCGCGTGACAGTCGTGCGATTTTTGGGTTGGTTGATTACGCAACTGTTTGTTTTAGCTTAAAATGAAAATCATGAATTAATTTTGATGGTAATTTATTTCAAGTCTATTTTAGATAATGGCTTGGAGGTATTAATTATCATTATCTCTATACTTACTAAAATTATTTTGATAGATCATATTAATGAACGTCTGCAGTGTTAAAATAAATAATTTAATTATTGTTTAAGTTGACAAGTTGTGTTACTACAATAATTAATTTCGGGACCAGGCATAATTTTACAAAGAGTTACTAAAAGTTAGTACTTTAATAGCGCAATACCTAGCGCAATACCTGTTCTCATGCTCGTTTCATTCATGTGTCTGATTGAATTTACAAAACGTAATAACGGCATTGTTCTAATTAATCTGAGTTTGATGATCCTATACTGTACCCAGTAAACATTTTTTTGCGGAAAAGTGCAACCGCAGGAATTGAAAACGCAGAAATTAATTTGCTACCTTTCAGCGGTTAAATCGCAAAAATTTCCAACCGCAGAAAATACCCGTTATACGGTACATTTGCAAATATGGACTACATCTTTCAAAAAATGACTCAATGCCTAAATAATGACACAAACTTCATTATGTGTGTTAAGTAAAGTCATATGTATTTTTCAATGTGTAGAATAGGGTACATATATGAAAAAATATTATCGACTACAACTTGGAAATTATATTTAAATAAATAGGAAAAGTTTTTTTGTGAGCTAATTATAAAAATTCAAGATGTGTTTTTGAAACGACGAGAAATAAACCGGTAAAGTTGTACCGTTTATACTCGCCTATAATTCGGGTTTTTGGGAGTTTAATTTTTGTCCAAAAGCCTATGTCCGACTTATAGGCGAGTCATAAAAGACTGGTATTTTTCTAGCCGATGAAACGTAAAATTCTATAATTTCTATTAATTTCAATCGTTATCGGTGAACATAGTGTGGATTTATCATATCATGTTTATATTCTAAGATTAAACATTAATAACATGTATTTATATACATGTAGTACATGAACTAAATGATTTTATTTTTTTTTTTAATCTTGAGAGGGTATTATCTATTTTGATCAGTAATTTAAAGGTAAAAAAGTGATCCACATTTCAAAAAAATTAATTGTAATCAGGTTAAAATATCATCATTTATTTGAAATTGTCATATGGTTCTAACAAAAGGTTGTACCGACTTATAAGCGGGTCATTGGCAAATACCTTAAACACCCTTTAAAAATATAACCGAGTTATAAGCGGACCGACTTATAGGCGTGTATATACGGTAATCCCCTAGCACTAACCATTCGTGAGCTACGGCCAAGGTTAAAGTTATTGATAAGTTGGTTGAAATCCAAGTTCAAGGTCATTACACATTGATCTGGTACACAAAAGAAGGTCTTGTGAAATAAATGCGTGTGAGTAATATGATATCTTTCGATTTAGCCATTCATTAGTTATGGTTAAGATTAAATTTTTGAAAATTTCTTCAAAAGTGAATCAAACTTAAAGATCAACGTCAAAATATCAAAAATACTTCCAAACGAAACGTTTTTACACATGGAATACTCCAGTGAAATATGTTAGCCATAGCTCATATGACAAAGATTCATATTAAGGAAAATTTTCCAAAAGTGGCAAATTCCAAAATGAAGGTCAAAATTTCAAATAAAATATTTTAACCCAAGAAAAGATCATTTCATATTTTTTTTTTCACCTGTGAAATATGAAATCCATAGCTCAAACCATTCAAATGTTATAGTCAGGGTTAATTTATTTACCCACTTAAAGATAAATCAGAGAAAAAATCAAAAACAAACAGAAAGACAGATCGACCGTCAGAACAGGTATATCTAAACCTGATTCTTGGATTACAATTGCATAAAAATTATTAAAAAGCACTTTGTCAGTTTTTTGCTAAAAAAAAATATACGTATAGTGAGAAGAGATTTGAGTTGTAAGTTTCCTTGCAAAGATAACGAGACATCATATTATAACGTACATTCTGTCTCCATGAAAATGCAATTCATAGCTTACTTCAACTAATGAGTATTTATCTAGATCGCTTCCAAAGAGAAGAATATACTACATGGACTTCAGAAGACTCCTTTTAATTTTGTAGAATTTTTTACACCATGTTTTATGAAGTTATAAGAAAAAATAAAGGCTGGAAATGTTTATTTTAATTTAAAGAAAATAAAAACATTATGTAACAGAACACTCCTCTGGCTCCCAAAGAAATGGAGAATCCTCACAAATAAAGGGAAGTTTAAGTCCGTGTTCTCCTGTATAGTACGTGTAGTTCCTCTCAGTCACCCAGCGCCACCTACCGTCGTTATGATAAGTCAAAAGGAGGCCAAAGATTAGGTCAACTGCCGCCTCACCCTCTTCGTTAGGATTCCAGTTCTGATACGTTACAGGTGTCCAATTATCAAAATTGTGTCTTTCATTGTCGTCAAATGTCAAAACATTGGCACGAAATTCAAATGAACCGTTGAGATCAACTTCTGCAGAAAAGGACAAGAAAGTTTTTTTTTAATCATTTTCACGTTTGAAACACCACCGATACAATATGATTTGTTACTTTAGATCCAGTACGCTCTAAAAATTATAAAATTTTATCTGCTGTATCCAAGTTCAATAGACCTTCAAAGGGAAAATATCCTTTATTGCGTCGTGGTATATGTAACAATAGAATATTTGCTAACGGTCATAAGCAAACCTAGGCCAAACTGTATTTCAATTGGAGAGCAAAGGAAAATAAGATGGTGTTCGATTCCAAAATAATGTTTTGTTTTTTTTTTTTGGATGAAGAAGGATATGGAGAAAACTAACAGTATTCAATCTCAAAGTCAAGAAACTATACAAAACAAGAGCAGAGCAAACACGGACCTCCGAAACATCAGAGGTTGGATCAGGTACCACGGGGGAGTGAGCATCCCCAGCTGACCGGTCACACCCGCCGTGTGCTCATTGTCATGATTGTGAAATAACGGAAGAATCCGTCATCAATTAAGTGTAAATATATATGGACTAATAATTGGTATGAAATAAGAAATTAACAATTTTGATACACTGCAAAAAAAAAACATTTTCCAGATTTAATATGAAGTTCTTTATCTTAAAGTTTAAAATCAGATTTGTAGAACGCAAAAAAAACTATCTCACTTTTTATCAAAGGTGTCTGAATATAATCCACATAACATTATGAAAGAGTACTTTTTTTAATCAAATGTATATTCGAGAAATTTGACAATTTTTTTTGTTATTGTATGTATGTGATAAGAATGAGAAGATGATATGAATAAATTGCTTAATTATATACCAAGATGTATTGGGTTTACGCCTGAAAACCTCCCAAGAAACAACAGCATGCAATTAAAATGTTTTAATGACAATATTTTATCTAGTCAAGTTATTTGATAAGTATATTCTTTAAATACCCGGACGTAAACAATTAACTATAAAATGTATTGTTTAATTACCCTGATGTATGCGGTTTACGCCTAAAAACCTCCCATATCCGTCACCATACAAAACCAGAAGCTCTTCACCCGGCTCTACGTCATGTGACGTCATATAGAAGATGATGCTCTCGCTCATGATCGGAAAAAATATCGTGAGTATATTCGGCGGGAGAATTAACAAATTGTAACAGGTTACTGCAGGCCGGATCGTCTACATGTATGTTAAAAGGTTCATTGGTCCCCTGCTTATCCACTTTTTAAAACAATAAGATCCTAATTGTTAAAAATTAATTTCAGGAACATAATTGTTAAGAATTAATTTCGGTTCGGAATATTTAAGGATTAAAACAAATCTAAAATTTAAAGTCTTGTGAGAGTGTTGCATTAGCTACTAGTCCCCTTCTAGCAAGTGTAATCTGATTCCATCTTGAATTGAAAATTCCACAGTTTTATCAAAAAAAGATTGAAGCGGAACAAAAATCAAACTTGATCTATAGCATATCAAGGTCAAACGATATACCAGATATAAGCTAGATGTCTGCAAGCATTTAGAACAAATGTGAGAAGCGTAACAAAATGCAAACTTGATCTGCAACTGATCAAAATACACTTATATACATACGAAAAATCAGCTTAAAATCTGCCACTGTTTACATGTAGAAAAAATGCAGAAAACAAAGTGGGACAGACAGACAGGGGACAGAGGGAAAACAAGACGGACAGACATACAGAAGGACGGGCATGAGGCCGGATACAGAGGAAACATTTAATCCCTCTTGTTTCACCGGTAGGGACAAAAAATAAGAAAAGCTTCATTTCGTTTTCATGTATGGTTGATTCTCTTTATGATTTTACCTGCCATGAATAATAATCCTCAAAAAATGTCAAGGACACGAAACAGAGGTCAGGACACATGATTTTCTGTATAATCTGAACAACTTCCTTGATTAACAAATCTACTAGTATAGAAATTAGATAACCGCAAGGTCAGTGAAATCATTCTATATTTGCTCTGCTCCTACTTTGTATTGTTATATGGATCTTGAATGTGTTTCACTGAATGGAAACTAAATGGTAGAGGTCTAGCATTAAGGATGCTCTAAACACTGCACACAAAAGAGTTTTGTATGCAACCTCTCAGTGTATTTTTGTGTTATCTGTTGATAAATTGCCTGTGTACATATTTAACGAGACCAAGTCTAACCGAGTGCGCACGACTTGGCGCAGCTTATTTATTTCATGCAGTCATAAGTGCAACAGCACACCTTAGCCAATTTTTTTTTAATTATTTTTTTTTTACAAAATAAACATTATTTAAAAACCCTTACTGATCTAAATGGGTGATTTTTACGATATTAATTAGAAGAAAAAAATATGCTGAAATGGCTTTAACAATGTCAACATTTTCCGATATTGTAAGCAATGCATGACATTGGAGAATGGCGTTTGTATACTAAAGACGTCCATGGATATTATACTAAAAAATTATGACAGGTCATCCAAAGAAACAACATACCAGCAGTCCAAAAGTTACTATTTTTCTGTAAAAATTTAGCGCCAATGATTCATCTGCATTGATATATATTTATGCCGTAATGTGGCAATTTTAGAGGAATAGGGCTCTGTTGTAACCAAGGTTACTAACTATGCTTGCTATTATAATGCACTCTCAGTCACTATTGATATACTTATTTCAATAGTGGTCGTTTTTCAATAGTGGTTACTAACTATGATTGTTATTGAAATGCACTCTCAACCACTAATGATATAATTATTTCAATAGTGGTCGTTATTGCAATAGTGGTTGCAACAGGGCTCTATTGAAAAAAATAAAATTTGTAATTAATTCCTATACCAAGTTAGATGGTCTCTTTTCTTTCTAAATTTCACAATTTAGTAACTTTTAACTACACCCTCTGTCTATTTGAATGAAAAAGAAATCTTTAGGGCAGAAATACAAAGAATATGGAAAAATGAATTATTTGGCGCTTTTCCAATATTTTCCCATAGGGTTCAATTGTAAAAATAAACATTTGAGATGACCCTTAAAGAAATCGGGACGGTAAGCATTTGATTTTATTACTCTTAAAACAATAACTATTACATTAAAAAAGATTCAAAATCCCTAAGGCAGAAATACAGTAATTAGACTCGGTCTCGTTAAAATATGAAATGTTTGGCATTTGTAAAATGTAACGTGAAAAAATCTAAACAATGCAATTTTCATTTTGCTGTACATACCTTTGCAATAGGAATGTGTTTATATTTAGAACTTTGTACACCATTTTTTTTTTTTTTTTTTTTTTATTGGCTCTTTCTTCGTATACAATGTCATTAAACACAAAAAGGCATGCAACAAATATAACTATGGAAATAACATCTATCTACATCTTACCAGACAATGTTTCTGATTCATAGAACATTTAAAAATTGTTTTGGAGCTTACTATCTACATAAACTAATACATATTAAATGCTCATTGTTTTTACAAAGAAAAATATATTACGTATATCAAATATATTACCGGGGAAATTATATTTGTTTTAAGACATAATAGCATAATATGTAAAAATACAATAAATTCTAAGATAATGATTATAATACATCTAATATTGGTTGCCAAACTTCGTTAAAATTATCTAAATTATTTTTTGAGCAATACACTGCTTTTTTAGTGAGTAATTTCTTTTTCATCAGATTTAAAAAGTTGTGTAACTCTGGTACTTTTTTAACGACATCCAAATTAGATACAGCCACAGAATGTATATATGACTTTGCAAGCAGAATGCAGTAATTCAAACCATCACATTTACTCTCATATAAACCTAAAATAACATTTTTACAAGAAAGCTTTTCTATATTGAAGATATGTAAATTATTCCACCATGTTATAAAATGGTTCCAAAAAGTTGCAACAGAAGCACAGTAATAAACTTTGTACACCATGCTTAATGAAATCTGCACAAACTGAAAAGAGAGGTAATGAATTTAGAATAGTGTCCTCACTTTACAAGCATAGTATTTTTTTACCTGATACAAAATGTATTCCAAACTTCATTTTTTTTTTACAATATCAAGAATACGCATTGTTAAAAACAATTGTATCTTTTTTGTTTAAGAAAGGTTCAAAGTGTCTATCCATGAATGCATTTTTACAGATAAAGTGTGTATCAGCTTATATATAATTATCATTTTATAAAAGAAATATTTTATGTTTGAACTTCTAACATAAGAGAAGGGCTTTATATGCGTATATCTGACGTATCAATTTAAAAGAAATGCCTTTTTGCTTATGCATTCCTTATATGAAAAAATATTAAGCTATAAATCTGAAATACGAGTAGTTATATGAAAAATATACTTTATATTTTATAAATAAAAAATGTTTCATCCGATCTCTTTAATATCAGGAATTTAACATTTACTACTATCATTCAGTTAAAAATGTTTAAACTTTCCAAAAACTACACCTGTTCCCGAGAAAAAGAAATTGGCAGGTTAAAAAATTTATTGTCGTATGACGAAAATGAAAATAAAATCACCATTTGAAGATATGATGCACTAATTTTAATAAGTAAATTTTTAGTATGTTTTACCTGTAACAATTCAACTCAACAGGAATGTTGCTACAATCGGAAGGCCTCTTGATATTAGTTTGAATTGAATGCATTGGGTATTTCTTTAATCATAAATAAATAGTTAAATCCAGGAAACAATTTCAGCAACTCTTTTTGAAAGTAGAAATAATAGCAGAGCCATTTTTGTGTAAACATGATAATGTGTCATATAGAGAGGAAAGGTAAAGGTTTTATTTAAGTTTTGACTTTTTTTTATTGTATAGGCATATATGTATTTTTCAGTTCATAAACAGTGCGTATGAATTCTTATGACTGAAATATATTATAGATGTCTGATTTGAATAACTGATATTTTTACTGAAATCAAAACAGCAAATTATCTGAAAAATAGAGTTATGAAAAACTCTTGAAGTAAAACCTGACGAGATAAATCATGAAGAGTTATTCTTCTTGTCTCATAAAAGCCTTTTACCTTTTGTGACATGACATTAGACACAAGTAACATCTTTTTAAAAAGCTTGCCAGACTTAATCAATCAGTATCTGCGTGATAAGGGATGAACATCTGGAGCAATAGCTTTGTGGGTTTAAAATATATACTAACTATTAATTTTGAAAATCTTGTGTAAATGAAATCCTCGCTATATTTAACTTGTAGAAAAAAAAATCGTTTCTACACTGCATGCTAAAGAGTTGTAATTCTGTGGGTGTTTTCGTCACATGGATCTAAATTGATTTCAAGCTGCATTGAAACACCTATTAGAAAATATGTTATCAAATCATGAATTGTAAACATTTTAAAAGAGGATATAATTTGATACACATTTTGTTAGATTGTATTTTCTCCACTGAGGTAAACAGTAGTAATGTGTGTTCATCAATATTTTTGAGTTAAATTAAAAAAAAAAGAAAGTGGCATCTGGGTAACTTTTTTTATTATTTGCACAAAAATTAAATACTTATTATAACTTTAGTACATATTAAACCCATTAAAATCTAAAAAAAAAAAAAAAAAAAAAAAAAAAAAAAACAAATCATAATGTTCGGGGGTCTTCAGAATGATGCGATATTGAACACGTCCAGCACAGGCGTTAATTTGAATACTGATACTAAAAAAAATATGAGGAAATGTTTTAAATATATAATAAAGGAATTATTGAACTTATATTGGTGAATATTGGCACAAACTAGCTGTTAAAATGCACGAGCTTGAATACATATATGGTATGTATTGCTGAATACATATATGGTATGTATTGCTGAATACATATATGGTATGTATTGCTGAATACATATATGGTATGTATTGCTGAATACATATATGGTATGTATTGCTGAATACATATATGGTATGTATTGCTGAATACATATATGGTATGTATTGCTGAATACATATATGGTACGAGCTTACGATAGTATGAATGTAAATATTGTACATATTGCTGGGGTTTTTTACTTTGATTTTGGTAGGACCAGTTAAAAAGATAAAGATGTTTATTAATTTACTGGATTTTAAAACCAGCTGAACCTTTTACACTGTGTTGTCGTGTGTATAAATA